TAAGCCTTCTTTTATATCAGATTGGTTATCTATTATTGGCTTATACAATTTTTCTAAGTTAGTCTGTAAAGTATCATGACCAAACTTTTCATTTATAGAATCCTGATATACACTTTTCTTTAATCTATCAAGTTCTTTTATTATTTTTTCTCTCTTTTTAATATCAGTAACTTTCACATGTGACATTTTATATAGTCAATATTTTTTTAAACCCCTTTGGGATATATTATGTTTTATTTGAACATAATTTATGTTTTACTTGAACATTTATTATGTTTTACTTAAACATGTATTATGTTTTTTAATAACACAAATTATTTTAAAGTATTATTTATCATGCCTTTATTTTGATTCTTACTGAATATATTTTCTAACCATTTCAGAGCTTCTTTCATAACTTTTTCTCAGCTTGGTTAATTAATGGTTCTTTAGTTTGTTCATCAAGTTCTATTTTAGATTTTGTTCTAATTTTCTTTAGCATGTCTTGAAATTTTTCATGTTTTCTAAGTATCATTTAATATTCACTATCATCTATATTTTCATCTACTAATGCTTTAGAAATATAATTACTTATAGTGTTTAATTTTTCATGTTCTCTAAGTATCATTTCATATTCACTGTCATCTATATTCTCATCTACTAATGCTTTAGAATTATAATTACTTATAGTGTTTAATTTTGCATCAGCTAGTATTTTAATACTTTTATGCTTTTCTGCTTTTAATTTTAATTTTTTAATAAATTGTGATCCTATTAATGATATTAATCCTGCACCTAATGCAGCGCTTTCAAGTGCAATAGCAACTGGTGCTGCTATTGCACTTGTATATCATACAAGTTTTACTTTAATAAATCAAGTTTAGTATTAGATTTAGCATTATCTTGATTAAATAAATTATTTATCAATAAATCTCCTATATCTGATATTATAGATTTAACACTGTCTTTATCTTATTGAGATTCCTCTTTTGATTTTTCTTTAGATTCTTTTTTTTGATTCAACATTTTTATTAGATATATAATTGATTCTATTTATAATTCCATTATAAGATAAGATGTAGAATAAACAATTTCCTTTTTCAATTTTTTTACCTTCTTTATCATTATTATATAAAGTCTCTAGAATATCATCAGCGGACTCTGCTTTAACAGACTTAAGCAAGTTTAAATATAGTTATATTTTTTTCTGCTTTAACAGACTTAAGCAAGTTTAAATATAGTTATATTTTTTTCTGCTTTAACAGACTTAAGCAAGTTTAAATATAGTTATATATTTTTCTGCTTTAACAGACTTAAGCAAGTTTAAATATAGTTATATATTTTTCTGCTTTAACAGACTTAAGCAAGTTTAAATATAGTTATATTTTTCTGTAAGTGCAACTAATACATATTCTTCATCTATTTCAACTCCACAATTTAAAGAAATGTTATTATACAAATTTGATTATACTACAAAATCTAGCTGTGCTAATACTTCAATATTTCCATTTTTATTCATTGCTCTATGTTCTAAATCTAAATTAATAGTTATAGTTATTGTGGATTTTCCATACTTTTCATAATTCAAATATATTTTACACATTTTTACATATAACATTTTATGAATATAAAGATTTTTTTACATCATTTTACAATACAATAATATAAAAATAAAAAAAGTGATATAAATAAAAAATCTTGTATATATGAAAATGTCATATGTAAAGATTGAAAATTTCGATGAGACAAAATTGTGCGCTGATGAAGTATTTAATTATTATAAGCCTGTTTCTTATCAAAAAATGAAAATTGGTTATAAAAGCAAAACAGTTTTATCAGTAAAAACACCTAAATTATTTTCATATGGAGTATGTGAAAATAGAGATCCAAAAACAAATAAACTGACTGGATATTCAATTCCACTTGTTTGCTTTAATGAAATGAAAAGAAAGAAAAGACTGAAGAAGAAGAAAAATTTATTGCAATGATTCAATCTATTGAAAAATTTTGTAGAGATAAAATTAAAGAAAAACAATTAAAAAATAAAATATAGAATTTTAATACTGATAACTTAAAAATTCTAAAATGTAATGATAATAAACCTCCGGTTATTTTTGCAAAAATACCAACAGAAGGTAAAGATATTAAAATGGAACCTGTATTCAGATCTAAAGATATTGATGATAAAATTTCAGGGCATGATCTTATTAAAAAAAGGTATTATATTGTTGGACGTTTAAGAATTGAAGGTGTTTATATTGGCTCAACAGTTTAATCTATACAAGTAAAATTAGATGATGCAGTAGTATATGAAAAAGAAAGTAAAGAAATTACAAAAATGTTAGATGATGATTTATAATAATTTAAATAATAATTGTTATAAATATAAAATGCCATATATGAAATCTAAAGATATTGAAGTACATAGAATTAATGAATTAAATATTAATACTTTACAATTTAATAAAATTATTGAACTTGATAAAAATAAAGAGTTTGAAATGACATTTATAAGATTAGTATATATTATCTACAGTATTTCATCAAAAATAAGATGTTTTTATATATTAAATAATCTTGTAGATGGAAAAATTATATGGTAATTAAATGGTAAAAACACTACTGCAATGCATACATTCTTACCAATGACTAGGCCTTCAGGTATGAGTATTGTAGAAAAACCAGAATTTAGAAGTTATTTAACAAAAACACTTTCAAAAATGACAGTTGAAGTAGTTGATGATGACAATAATGTTATAGATTTTAGTAATGGAAGATTAACAATAAGATTTCATTTAAGAGAAGTAAAGTAAATTATTTATATTACTACTTATGAATCTCTGAAAGAGATTTAAAAAATAATATAAATAAAAATACGATTTTAAATAAAATAAGCATATATATAAACAAAAGATCTACAATTATAAAAAATAATTTTGAAGAAACTGTTGTACTTAATGAAAATAAAGATTATGAAATGGCTTTAACTGGAATATCAGTTTATAATAGTTTCCCAAGTATTGTTGAAGGTGTTAACAACACTATGGATATTAATATAGATGGTCTTAGTAACGATTCACCTGTTTGGCTAGTAATAAAGTTTCCGACAGGAGCATATGAACTTACAACCATAAACAAATATATATCTGAGTATTTAGTAGATCTTATAGCAGATGTTAAAAAAAACAGAAGAAAAATCCAAATTCATATAAAAATTTAGTACTAACTCCAACATCTATTATGATTGAAGCAGATACTACTACTGATAAATCATTATTGTTTATTAGCGGAACTATTAAAGTTAGATTTTCTGATCATTCAATTAGAAATCTTTTAGGTTTTAATAATAGAGATGCTAATGGTGATTATATAATATACGATTCAAAAAAATTACATTATAAATCAGATAGTATAGTAGATATAAATCATGTTAATGTAGTGCATGTAACAAATAATATTATATCAGAAGCATATTTATATGGTGAAAAAACAAATATTATATATAGATTATGTCTAACTGTACCTCATGGATTTTTTTTAATTTTTTTTTTTTTTTAATTTTTTATTTTTAGATGCCCCAAGAAGTCCTTACGGTCTTATCACAGAGCACCGCGGATGAGCATTTAATTGGAAGTTCACGCCTCCTTCCTAACCGATGTCACATAACTTGCCCAGAGTTAGGGTTTGAACCACGGATCATTTGTTTTTGAGGCAAGTGCACAACCACTGTGCCACGGCTGCTCAAATTAATGTAGAACCAAAACCAATTTATTATCCGATAATAACAAAAAAAATTTGGAATATGAAAACAACATTAATTGATCAAAATAATCATTTGCTATATATACAAGAAAAAAATTTAGATATAAGTTATCATATAAGAGAGCATATATCAAAATGTGAAAATACACATTTATTAAATAAAATAACCGCCTATTAGAAGAAAATAACCACTTAAATAGAAAAATTGCTAATTTATTAAGATATAGAAAATAGATCTAATACTTATGAATCTCTAAAATAGATTTAGATCACGAAGTGATCCGAATTTATGTTAAATAAATTAATACTTATGATTTTTGTGAAATAAATTAAATAAAAATATGTAGTAAATAAAATGCTAGATATAAATAATGAAGGATGTACGCATAAATATGTTATTAGTGGAAGTGGAATATTTACTTCTATGAAGACTATGTTTCAGAAGCAAGCATTAACTAATGCATTAAAAGCATCAAGAGATTTAGCTATTAAAGCAGCTTATAGCGACATAGAAAAAACTGCAATAGATGCTGGAAAGTCAGCAGGAAAAGAACTTGCTACTTCTGCAATATCTACTGCTAAAGACGTTGTTGTAAATAAAGGAAAACTAATAATACAAAAAGCAAATAAAGCAGCTAAAGAGCTCATACCTGAAAATAAACTTAATTAAATTTATAGATAATTCATCAAATGAAATAATAACAGGCATAAATAAAATTATGATGGGATCAGCAACAAAAAATAAATCACATAGTTCAAAGCTTACATCTAAAAATAAACAAGAACTTAAAAACTTAACTAAATCTCGATCCAAAATGGATATAATTAAATCTATAGATAATTCAAATGATACTCAGATTAGAATACAAGACTTAGTTAAAAGACATAAAGACAATCGAGGTAATGGACTTAGAACAGTGTAGACTTTGTTTTTTTCTAATCTAAAAAATATGTTAATGAAAATAGCTTTAAAAAAATTATCTTGTATATAAAAAAAAAGTAAAATCTAACATATTGGATATTACTGAAGAAATAAATATTAATGAAGGTATTAGAAAAAATGAAGAATCAGAATTTCAGCCAGCTGTTAATTCTGTTTTAAGTTCTGGAGAAATAAACATTTATATTGAAAATAGTGATTTGTATTTACATCCATATAATTCATATTTAGAATTTGAAGGAAGACTTCTAAAAGCAGATGGAAATGCTTATGCATTTGCATAAATACAGATGCAGTAACACTAACACACAATGGTATTATGCACTTATTTAGTAGAATAGATTATAAATTCTCAGATGCAACAGTAGAACTAGTTAATTTTCCAGGTCAAGCAACTACAATGCTTGGAATGCTAAAATATCCAAATGACTTTCAATTTTTAAAAGGAATGGATCAATTGTGGTACAAAGATAATATATCAACAGCAGTAATTGCTGATAACGTAGGATTTTCAGTAAGGCAGCAATATATAATTCAAAAGCCAACTGCAAAAGGCACATTTTTATTTCGTATTTCTCTAAGACATAATTTTCGATTCTGTGATGATTATGATAAAGTTGTTTACGGATTAAAACATGGACTTCTTCTAGTAAGACAAGATAGTGACAATGCAATTTTTAGAGCTAATGGAGTAGCTGCAGGAAAAGTAAATCTTAGTAGAATATCATTATTTATGCCAAGTGTAACTTTATCAATTGATGCAGAATTAAATCTTGTAAAAATAATTAAATCAAGAGAAACAATTCAATTACCTTTTCGTTTAAGACACTGTGATCAGGCAATTGTTCCACAAAATACAACATTTGATTGGAGATTAGGTGTAAGAACTACTGAAAAACCTAGATATATCATTGTAGCGTTTCAAACAAATAGAGATGGAAACCAAGAACAAAATACTTCACTATTTGATAATTGTGATTTACAAAACATGTGGATCGAACTTAATGATGATAGATACCCTGCTTCTAATTATTCATTATCATTCCCAAATATAAAATTTTCTAGAGCTTATAGAGATGCTGCAACTTTTAGTTGCAAATTTTATGGAATGTCAACTCTTATTCATCTAAGTGGCATATCTCCTGGCAAAAGATTCAAAGAGTTAAAAGAGTGAAAAAAGAAAAAGTACAAAAAGAGAAAAGACCACTAGGAAGAATAAGGATTTATCCAGAAAAAGAAAAAAGAGATCCTAAATATGATAGACTGACACAAATTAGAACAAATCCAGTATATATTAAACTAATGTAGAAACAGGAGAAGTTAAAATATACAAGTCTTTATATGATTTTATTAGAAAAGAAAAACATGGGTATAAGTATGTAGAGTTGCGTAATGGAAAAGTTAAAAATGGTGTAAAATAGAAGTAATAAACTCTAAAATAGTTAAATATGATGATGAAGATAATGAAAAAGAAAATGCAGAATAATTTCTTGTAAAAAATTATTTTTATAGACTTTTTATATCTATAAAAATATGAAAAGAAAATTATTTAGTTTTTTTATTTTAATTTCTTGTTAAAAAATGAAAATTTGAAAATGGCATAAACAATTTTCTTTTGTATATAAAAATGGAAAATAAAACTGTCATAGAATTAAAACAAATCGCAAAAGAGCGAAAAATAAAGTACTATTATAGAATGAGAAAACAGATCTTTTAAGAGAGTTATCTCAAAATTAACAAATATTACACATATTAGATGAACCTATTCCAGAACACATTAAACAAAATGCTTTAGCACCAACTCAGTATGTTCCAAGTTAGTATGTTAAAGTGTTAATAATAAAGTGAATTCATTTGCCAATTGGATTATGTCCTATGTTCCTAAACCCATTAAAAAGGCAGATAGTAAAAAAATTAACGAATTAAAATATACAGCTTCTAATTTGTATAATAAGTTTGGAATTAGAAAGCCATTAGAGTTTAAGTTGACACAATCATCCATTAAAAATGTGACAAAACAATTTTCAGCTCAAGGTGTTACAGAATATGATGTTTTATCCTTTATAAAATCAGCTAAAATTGATGTCATTAAAATACTAAATAGTAATAAAGGATCAAAGATCTATATTGTTTTTTCATGTGAAATGGAGCGTACTGATCTTAAAACAGGAGAAATTGTTACAACAACTACCACATTTTCAACAAAATTAGAAGTTATTTTAGAATCAACAGATTTAAATGAATTCTATGAAAGAGCTGAACAGAAAATTTTAGAATCCTTGTCTACATTTCAACAATTAGGATCAAGTTGGAGATTTGTTTCTGTTAAAAAGATGGATATAAATATGATTAAACATAATCCTGTCAATGCTAGATCCTACATTCCTCCTAATAAAGAGTTAGTAACTAAAAAAGCAATCAATAATGTTAAAAATGAAAACACGAATGCTTTAAGTGGTGTTTTGCTAGATTTTTTAATGCTAAAGATAAAAATTCTGAAAGAGTAGATAAAGATCTAAAAGGATAAGCTGATAAATTAAATTAGGAAAAAGTAGAATTCCCAGTGTCATTAAATCAGATTACTCAATTTGAGAAAAATAATCAAGATATAAGTGGTAATGTCTTTGGATATGAAAGGTCAGTATACCCTTTACGCATATCTGAAAATAAAAACAGATAACATCAAATAGATTTATTACTCATTTCAAATGATGAGACTAATCATTATTGCAACACTTGCGCACCAAATCCAAATGACTCTTATACTAAACAAAATCAAAGACATAACCCAGGTTTATTCTTTTATTATACTAAATGTGTTGATGAAAGTATTTATCAAAGCAGTCCAGTCACATTTACTGCAAGTAGTAAAGATGATGATGTTGCACAAATTTTTGTTGATAGATTAGAAGGAGATATAAAATAAATATATCATAAATATTTAAAATCTTCAAAAAAGATGATATTTACACCTTAAGACAAAGAATACTTTAATAATGCAGAGAAATGTCACATTTGCGAAGAATTATTAAAAGAAGATAAAGTAAGAGATCATTGTCATATTACTGGTAAATATATAGGAGCTGCTCATAGTAAATGCAATTTAAAATTCCAAAAATCATTCCAGTACTATTTCATAATTTATCTTGTTATGGTTCTCACTTGTTCATTAAGAAAATGTCAGGAGGAAAATTAAGTTGTATACCTAACAATGAAGAAAAGTGTATTAGCTTTTCTAGAGAAATTAAAGTTGGTGAGTTTACTAAAGCGGGTAAAGTTATTGGCGTTTAACGAGAACTACGTTTCGTTGATAGTTATAGATTTATGGCTGATAGTTTAGATGAATTAGTAAAAAATTCAACAAAAGAACAATTTAAAGAACTAAGTAAGAATATTAAAAAGTTGCATTCGGGTAGTGAACTAGATTTATTACTAAGAAAAGGTGTTTATCCATATGATTGGGTTGATTCTATTGATAAATTGTCTGAAACACAACTACCACCGAAAGAATCATTTTATTCAAGATTAAAAAATGAAGGTATAAGTGACGAAGATTACTCACATGCACAAACTGTATGGAAATAGTTTCATTGTAAAGCATTTAGAGATTACCATAATTTTTACAATGTTTTAGATGTATTATTACTAGCTGATGTCTTTGAAAATTTTAGAGATCTTTGCATGAAAAATTATAAATTAGATTCTACTTGGTACTATACTTCACCAGGATTAGCTTGGGATGCTGCATTGAAAGAAACAAAAATAAAATTAGAATTATTAAGTGATTATGATATGATCTTAATGATAAAGCAAGGAATAAGAGGTGGAATTAGTATGATTACAAACAGGTTAGGAACTGCTAACAATAAATATATGGAAACAAATGATAAAAGTAAAGAATCAACATACATAAAGTATTTAGATGCTAATAATTTATATGGATGGGCTATGAGTAAGCCCCTTCCTACACATGGATTTCAATGGATGAATGAAGAAGATTTGAAAAATTGGAGATCAACTTCGTGTATATTAAAAGTAGATTAAGATTATCCCGAACATTTACATAATGCTCATAATGAATATTCACTTGCTCCTGAACAACAATACATACATCTTAACAATAGACAATTCTTATGGATCCGCTGGATCTTAAGTTGAAAAATTAGTACCCAATTTGAATCACAAGAAAAATTATATCATTCATTATAAAAACTTGAAATTGTATGAAAGATTAGGATTGAAATTGACTAAAATTCACAGAGGAACAAAGTTTGAAGAAAGTGCATGGCTAAGTAAGTACATTGAGCTCAATACAAATTTGAGGACAAAAGCTACTAATGACTTTGAAAAAGACTTTTTTAAACTCATGAACAATTCAGTATTTGGAAAAACAATGGAGAATATTGAAAACAGAAAACACTAAAAGAGAAGAAGCTATTAATATTAGCATCAAAACCCAACTATGAAAGTAGGACTATATTTGATGAAAACTTGATAGCTATTCATATTAAAAGGACTAAATTATTATATAATAAACCCATTTACTTGGGTATGTGCATATTAGATTTGAGCAAGACATTCATGTATGAATTTCACTATGATTACATGAAAAATAAATATGGTGATAGAGCTAAACTGTTATTTACAGACACAGATTCATTAGCATATGAAATAAAAACAAAATACTTTTATTCAGATATTGCAAACGATGTTGAAAGTAAATTCAATACAAGTGAGTTTGATCCAAATCATCCAGTTGTTCAAAATGAATTTAAAGTAGATGTAAATAAGAAAGTATTAGGAATGTTTAAAGATGAAGCTAGAGGAGCACAAATTGAAGAATTTGTTGGACTCAGATCAAATTGTATTCTTACAAAGTACACGGAGAAGATAAGAAAAAATGTAAGGGAGTATTGAAAAATGTATTTAAAAAATATATAACACATGAAAATTATAAAGACTGCCTGCTTAGCAGGAGAGATCAGATGAGAAAAATGAATGTCCTAAGATCTCATTGTCATAATGTTTATACAGAAGAAATTAACAAAGTAGCATTGAGCGCAGAAGATGATAAAAAAGTTATTTTAGAAGATGGTATTCATACATTAGCGTATGGTCATTATAAATTAGAAGAGAGCCCCAACTTTTCATTTCAGATTGATTGGAAAAAAGTATATAGGCACAGGCACAATATAAAAAAAGGTAAGTAATTTTTTAAAATTATTTTAAAAAATCTAAAACTATTATTAAAATGAACAAACATATCAATGTTGAAGGAATCATATTACCAAATGAATCATTAATAAACTTTCTATTAATCAAAGCAGCAAAAAAATTAAAAATTAAAAAATTTAAAGGTGTATTTGTAAGAGATAAATTACCAAAAAATACACAAAAAAAAGAATGCGGAATATTAAACACAGGAGATTCAAGTACAAATGGATTTATCGGATTTGCTGGCACAAAGACGGAGATACAAAGTTTAGCTTTGACTCTTATGGACTACCACCGCCAGTTGAACTCGTTAAATACTTGCACAGTCCTGTTTACTATAATAGTGAACAGGTTAAGTTTGGAGATTAGACTTCCTATTGTGGACACTTGTGCTTCTATGTTTTAAAAAAACTAAATAATGGTGGTGAAAGTATCAAAGTATCATCAATTCACTGCTACAAAACATTATGTAGACACTGCACAAACTCCAAGTAGTTTGTATATTATAACAGATGGTCAGAATCCTGCAATTGCTGACATTAATTTAAATACCAATAAACTCATCAATGTAGCAGATTCTACTCAACCTTAAGATGCTGGTACAAAGAGCTATGTAGATAATACACAATCTACTAGTTTAGATATAATTCTAAATACAAGTTTAACATGTTTTGGAGTAAAATCTCAAACAAACAGATTAGATCCAGGATCATACACAATTTTTACTTATAGTAGTAGTTCAGAAATTCTAAGAAAACTGTGGATTGCACTTACAGGAACAATTAGTACTGGTAGTGTATTTACAGTAACAATTAGTACTGGTACTGGTAGTAATGTATTTTTAAAAATATATGCTGATAATGCACTTTGCATAGGTAATGATTCTATTGTAACAGATGGTGTAGGTATTAATAATACAGCTTTAGCTTGTGATTTATGCAAACTCTTTACAAGGATGTA